ACCTTCCCAGAGCAGTCACCTGGAACTCCAAGGATAACTCTGGGTCAAGGAGGACTCCCAAGCTACGCACCCTGTCTCTTAGAGGGAATGCAATCCAAAATGGGGGAAAAATAACTTCCGTGGAAAGCAGAACCACCTACCAACAGGACCTCTGTCTTGTCTGGATTTAGTCTCAATTTATTGGCCCACATCTAGCCCATCACACTAGTCAGACACTGGTTAAGGACAGCCAGTGCCTCATCTGGATTAGATGTAAATGAGAGATAGTGATAGGTGCCATCAATATACTGGTGACTCCTCAGCCCAAACCTCCGGATGTCCTCTCCCAGTGGTTTCACATAGATGTTGAACAGCATGGGGGATAAAATGGAGCCCTGTGGAACTCCATGGCATAGCTGCCATGACGCAGAGCCACAATCCCCAGCACCACCTTCTGGAATTGGCCAGCCAAGTAGTTGTAGAACCACCACAAAGCAGTGCCTCCAAATCCCCATCTCAGCCAGCCTATCCAGAAGGATATCTTAGTCAATAGTATCAAAAGTCACTGAGAGGTTCAGGAGAACCGACCGGGGTGCACTGCTCTTGTCCCTCTCCTGGCACAGGTCATCTTACAGGGCAACCAAGGCAGTTTCAGTCCCATAAGCAGGCCTGAAATCGGACTGGAATGGGTACAGATGGTCAGTTTCCTCCAGGAGAGCCTGGAGTTGTCCAGTCACCACCTGCTTGAGCACCTTGCCCAAAATGGGATATTAGCCACCAATCTATAATTGGTGGCAATATCTGGGTCAAGGTTCACCTTCAGGATGGGACAAATCCCTGCCTCCTTCATCCTGACCCTCCTTCAGAGAGGTGTTAACAACTTCCTGGACCCAGGTACTCATTCCATCCTTGGCTCTGATGAACAGCCATGAAGGGCAAGGGCTGAGTAAACAGGTGGTAGGACGGACGTATCATCCTTCAATAACTGAAACCTGTCCAACATAGATGGACGAAACAGCGCTCTGAACGAAACAGCGTTTCAGGATCACATCACCTGTGGAGTCCAATTTGTGGCAAGTCTGAGCAAATTTATCATGAATGTGCTAGGCAAGGTCATTACAGCAAGCTGTTGCTGATACGACAGGATCTGCTGAAGCCCAGAGTGTAATAGGCCCTGTACCACCCAGGAAAGTTCTTCTGGACAGCACTGTGAGGATGCAGTGGAGGCAGAGAAGAATTCCTTCTTAGTTGCCCTCACTACCACTGCATAGGCTCGATAATGAGCTCTAAGGAGTGTTCGGTTAGATTCTGCATGGGTTTTCCTCCACTGTGCATCATACTACATTACAGAAGAGATATAAGATTCTCACTAGTTGAACCACTGAACTATATTAAAATGTGTGCTGATAAAGTTATAGTAGGTGCATGAGAGGCAGTAGCCTTCCTATAAAGAAGATTAACTGCTAGGTTTCTCAAAAAAGCTTTTATGATGAACTTTTAGGTAGTTTCACAAAACAAGTATCATCACTGAAAAGGCCCTGTATTTGATGCCATCAAATATACCATCCTTTTATCCCAAGAGGACTAAGAAATTTACAGGAATAGAAAGTTGTACCAAAATCATTATGGACAATAATCTGCTTTGTCAAGTACTTGCAATAGTTTATGAAGTGTACAGCTGTATATAGATAAATTGAATCATATCTTTAAAAATAGTCAGTTTTCTGTGCTACATAGCACTTGCATCTGGAAAATGAGTGTCTGGATGGTGAATGAGATATAAAACTCCATCTTGTATCTCATGGAGTCTCAAATAAAGAAACTTTGACTGTTCTGTCCTTTTGGGATGTAGTAGTGCTGAATGCCTGCCAACATACCTGCCATGCTAGTTGTTGTAATTTTTCATCACATTTCCTTATATCTTTCCTTATAAATGTCATGCATTCGCCATCTTGGCAAATGGATTTTGTTACCCTGAGTGTATGAGGTATTCCTGTTAAAAATTTGCTCAAAGGGTGCTGGTTCATACGTCACAACAATTCAGTGTTTTAAAACCCTGCATTATTATGTCTACTGCAAAGTTATTCCTGCTATAAGTTGAAGTGGTTTGAACCTTCCCATGCACTATGTTCATACTGCAGATGCCTCCATGAGGGAAGCGTGGGGATTGGCAGCAAGGGAAAGGACGCTTTCAGTGTGCCCCAACCCATTATAGAAATATCACTCAAACAAGGCCTGTCTGGTGTCAGTCTTGTTATATTTTTAAAATAAGGCTTAGACCATCTTCTGCTCCCAGGCATTTGAGAACATTTTAATTGGCTCCTGGATTTTTCTCATTGTTTGTTTGAAATTGGTTAGGATTTGTACGTGTATGCTGCACACACATGTGTATTGTCTGCTTATATGTTTGTAGATAAATGTTTTTCCGTTGTGCATAATACTTGTACTTTTTATATTTCTAATCTTTCGTAAACCAACCAGTGTGCCAGCTATTAAACTGTATTTCTAATTACTATGCAAATATAATAAATGAACTAAATGCATAAAATGGACAAGAAAACTAAATATGTATTCAGTTGAAAACTGGGTTTCTGTCACAATTAGCTCCTACTTTTCTTATTTAATATTAATTTGATATGCAAATTTACTAAAACCTTTTTTTCCTAGTGAAATTTAATTTTCACAGCAGAAACTTCATCCAGTTGGCCTTTTATAAACATTCTAGTGGCTATTCTGAATGAACTCTACTGTGGAAGAATGCTGATATTTGAAATGCGCTGTGAATTACAACATACTGAAATCTAATTTCCCCAAATGGTTTCCCTATACCAATTGACTTTATCCATTTGTTTTTGTTCTGATGCATGGCATGGCTCTCCTAATTGTAAAAGCTGGCATCCTGGTTATATATGTTCTGTTGTATGTTCCTGTGATCTAGGGTACAAAAGCAATTATGTAGTCAATAAGGATAGAGTTATAACAATGATTTTATACTCACAAGGAATACACTATCATTTTTGCCTAAAGCCATAATTTTTAATGGACCAAGAATTTCAGCACTGAGTTTGTCACACTTTGCAGTCTTTATTTGTGAAAGGAATTCCGTTAATTTTGGAGAGAAAAAAATGTAATATATTTAAAAAACTGTCTCAAGGCTTACCGTTGTCAGAATACACACATACTTTACAACACTGTTGAATACATTTTCAGTTGTGATAGCATTTTCTTTTATTTTAATTGCATGTGTGCAGTTTGTTTCTATGGAAACCACTGCTTGCTCTTCTCTTACATAGAACCACACTGAACTCTTATTTTTAATTATGATAATTTTATAATAGAACATTCCATTTTGTTCCTTCTGTTTTTAATCGCAAGATGCTATACAGTTTGCTGATTGAATTTGGACACATTTGACATGACTTCTGTGACTTATATTGTAATTTATTAAATCTTTAACTATTTTGAATACAGTGCTGAACAGTATTAAAATTGCTTGTTTACTAATTTGCTATAGATAATCTCAGTCAAATCTCAAATCATATTGGAGACAGTTGCAAAAACAATTGCAATTTTAAATACTTTATTGAGTTTGAATTTTTATATACTACCCCATTCCCATAGACTCTGGGCAGTTTGCAAGAAGTTTCAACTAAGAACAATTAAAATCTAGACTCAGAACAAACATTCAATAAAACTAATCTGGGAAGGCCTATTGGAAGAGGTAAATCTTTAACTTTGAGGGTGACAATCTGACTCATCTTTCCTGGTAGGCCACTCCACAGTTTAGGGGTGACCACTAAACCTTTGGGTAGTTGACATTAATCTTGCAGAAGCAAACTCTCGGGAAGACCTCAGCTGGCAATCTGGACTATATTGGCAAAGGCACTCCTGAAGTATTTTGGATCCAAGCCATGAAGGCCTTTAAAAGTAATTACCAACATCTTGCACTGTACCCAGAAAGCCATTGGCAGCCATTGCAGCGCCTTTAATATTGGTGATATATAGTCTCTCCATGATGTCCCAGAGAACCACGCTTCCATAGTTTATACAAGTTGCAGTTTCCAAAGCAGGCCCAAGGGTACTTCTATTTAGAGCACATTGCAAAACCAAGCTTAGAAGTCGACAGTGCATGTGCTGTTGTTTTCAAGTCATTCTCTTTCAGGAAGGGATGCAGTTGGTGAAGTCAGCTGAAGCTGATAACAGACCATAGCTTCTATCTGCACTGACATCTGGGTTAAGCACCATCCCCAAACTGCAAACATGGCTTTTCAGGGGAAGTGTGACCCCATTTAGAAATAGATGACAAATCTCTAATCTTGGATCGAAAACTTACCTTGTTGCTTCTGTCCTGTTTTGCAGCACATCCAACAAGCCTGGGAGCCTGTCTGCTGCTTAAAGTTTATTCTGTATCTGCTACTGTGTTGTATTGTTAGAACAGTAGAGAGCACTAAAAGATGTTTAAGGGAAAAAACAAGTACTTCTGCTTAGTGACTAGAATGTGCTTGCATTTATCTTCTGTGTGACATGCTTTTCTCAGTGTGTGTTTGTGTGTGTGTTGAGGGAGTATGCTGAACTCATTCAGGTGTTTGCAGTATTTACACTAAAAACAATAGACATATTCAGGAACCTAGTTTTTTTAAACTTTTGTCTCTAAAATGTTTTCAGCTCAGTGATAAGGTCTATTAGCATGATCAAATATTACCTTAAAAAGAAAAGGCTTTTTCAATTATTGAGAGGAGTCTGGAACCAGAATGTGACTACTTTGTTTATTGAAATATTATGTTCCATTTTATTCTTAGACCTATAAATAGGTTACAGAATATACGTGTTATCATTCTTCCTTTTCTTTCATTTACTCAAATTGAAAGCCCAATTATTCTCAGCTTTGGCACATCCAGGTTGCAACAGTAACTATAAACGGAGAGGCACAAAAATGTTCAAAATAGGAGAACCTGCATGGTCTGTACTTACTTAAAAACTAAAAAGTATGAAATAGCAGAAAAAAAATTCAGGCTGGTATCTGGGAGAGTTGCTACTGGTTAGAGAAGACGCTAGTTGGCTAAAGGACAAATCATCTGACTTATATAGGTCTATATATTCTATTACAAAAGTCAGATACCAAATATTCATGTTGTTGTATGATTACCTACTTGTCACCTTGTATTAGAAGAACAAAGGAACAGAAGAGCCATACTGAATGACATCAAAGATCCATGTTGTCCAGAATTTTGATCACACACTGGTTAACCCATAAGCAGAGCATGAGTGCAACATGATCCTTTAATTCTCCATGAATTATCAATTATCTTTTAAAGGCATCTAGACTGGTGACCATTGCGAAACATTCTGTAAGTGAATTATGGAAAAATTATATATTATGTGAAGTACTACTTATCTGTCCTGAGTCTCCCACCAGTTAGCATCATCAGATGACCTCAGTTCTAATGTTACAGGAGAGGGAGAAAAATGTCTCCCTATTCATTTTTCCACACATTGTATTAATTTGTACATCTTTATCATATCTCTCCTTGCTTTTTTCCCCTAACCTAAACAACTCTATATGTTATAATCTTTTCTCATAGGCTACTTTCTCTAGTCCCTTGATTTTACTTGCACTCTTTCCATTTCTACAATATACTTTTTAAGGTGTGGTGGTCAGAATTTTATATGATACTCTAAGTGCAGTTAGACCATAGATTTGCATATGAGAGTATGATATGGCAGTTTTACCTTCAGTTTCTTTCCTAATCATGCCCAGTATGAAATTCTCCTTTTTCTCAGCTGGTGGGCACTCCTATGTCTTTTTTGTTTTGTTATTTGAGCTGTTTACCAGAACCTTTGGGTAGCAGAGAATGTTTTATGGCATAAAACACTAGTCACTGTTTTCCTCTTGAACCAAGGAGTAAGCTGCTGGCCAGTGTTGAGTACTGAAAATGTAAGTCGCTGTGAAGTTAAAGCATGAGAACAAAATGGACTTCCAAGTCAGTTGGTGATACAACTTATAGGTTGTTTGCAGATTTACCTAGTTTTGGTGGTCTGTGTGTACCCCAAGAGTGTCTCCCCAAGGGTCTTTCAAAAGTACTACAATTAATGGAATAGAGTACTAGTTGCAGAATGTCATCTTAGTATAATAACTGTGGTGTCTGAGTTCTGATTGAGTTCTGCACATTTCCTATTCACAAAAACAGTAGCACAAACATTGGGGAAGTTGAGGGTTGCATAATGCTTCTCAGATTTCTGTCAAGAGCAAGCTTTACCGAGAATTCCGTTAGAAATCTGAGCTCCAGGTATGAGGTCTATTGGACAATTATATTGCTGGTCTGCTGGTCTGCATCTATATTTACTGAAGCCTTCACTATATTCCTGGTACATGGCCAGGAGATCTTCAAAAATACAAGCAAAAGAAAAGCACAGTTAAGCAGTTGGATACAAGAGACAGTTGAATTAAAGTCAGACAGGAGTCTTGAGGGTCAGTTGCACTAAGGATCTGGAGAACAGAAGGTCTGAAGAACAAGATACCAGTCACTGGAACTGAAATAACAATGTTTCAGCACTGGCTAATGATGAAACTTTATATCCTGACTCCCACCAGAACTCAACTGCACTGTGCTTCTGGGTTTCTGGCAAAAGTCCTGCTCAGGAGGAGGGTCTTTTTCCCTTTGTTGCAGAACACTTTTCAAAGGAGCTCAGTTGGCCAATTTCTTAAGGCAACAATACTTTCAAGGCTGTATAATACATAAAGAGAAATATATCCCCTTTGTTCTGAAGTGTATCCAATGTTTGTTTAATTGAACTTTACAGTTATAACTGCACTTCTTCATTTGGTGTTCTCCCTCCTTTCATTTTCCATGTAAGATCACCCTGATCATTATAGTCTGGAAAACAATACTTTGCTGCTAATTAAAAATCATTTTTGGAACCTTGAATTATCACTCATAATGGCAGTTTAAAAAAAACCAAACCTTGTCCCATTCATTCATTCATTCATTCATTCATTCATTCATTGTATACTTTTATTTATATGCCACTTACTACTATAGTCTCAAGGCGGCTTACAATTAAGATAAAGATAAAAACATAAAATACATATAGAAAGATAAAAACACCTATGAAACAAAACTTCAGTATCAAAATTTAAAACATAACAATAACAACCAGACAAGCAGCAGTGCAGTTGAGGACAGGATCAATTACTGAAAAAGATATTAAAGAGAAATGTTTTTGCATGATGCTGCAATAGAGATAGTGCCAGCTATTCCAGAGCCAGGGAGCAGCCTCCAAGAAGGCCCTTCATCTATTTGCCATCCCCCCTCACCTCTTTGATCTTAGGGGACAGGCAGGTTTGTAAGAGAGGAGGTGGTCCTTCAGGTAGCCAGCGCTTAAGCCATTTAGGACTTTATATTTCATAACAATCACCTTGAATTGAGCTCAGGCAGCAACCAGTGCATTGGTAATCAGTGCAAATCTCTGAGCATTGGCATACCCTGAGAGGTGCACCTGTTATCAACCTCACTGCTCAATTTTGTACCAGTTCCAGACCGTCTTTAAGGGCAGCCTTAGGGGAAATGCCAGAAGGAAAGGCGACAGAAGGATATACATGCATCAAAGAGTGGCCCTGATTTCTTCCTCCACACACTTCTTAGATGAAGGTAGGGATAATATAAAGGGAGGGAGGAAATGAGATAAAAACAGAGAACACCATACTATATTCTCTTGTAAATCATGTTCAGTTTTTTCTATTATACTGATGAATTTTCTTTATGTGAAACTGTGTTGTAACACAAGGACCCCATATGGCATGTGTAATAATGATATTATTTGATAGATATCTGGCTATCTATAAAATCTTTCTTTCTCTTTATGTTATAGTGTTGGGATTTTGTTTTATAAGTGGCTTCAAAAGGATTTGTTGGAAACTCCCTTAGAATATTGATATAAATATTCTATATATAATGTTCTGATATTCTGTATTACAAAATATAATATTCTAGTGTTGAGCTGAAAATGCCTGACTTTCTATGACTCTTCTCACAGTCAGGAAGAGTATGTGTGGAGTAACAGCAGCCCCGAGCATAGTGCAAGCAGGCACCATAGCACCTCCAATGGCATTCACAGGCATCCAAATATTTTATATTAAACTATTTTTACCTTTTTGAAATATATTCATATGGGTTTGTAATTAATACAGATTTATGGTAAGCATATATAGGGTTCAGCAGAAGTTTAGAAAATTTCCAAATAAGTAGCCGTTTAAAGTGGGCATTTATATTTCACATGTTCATTGTCATCAGCCATTCAGTCGACTCCGACCTTTGGGTACTCTGTGGATCATTGCTCTCCGTGCCCCTCTGACTTGCACTGCTTCATTCAAGTCTGCCATGCCCCAGTATATGTCTTTATGGTGTTCAGGTGCAATCCAAAATTTTCACATTTCATCTTCAACTATTCCAGGTCTTCTTTGCTTTCTGAGAACAAAGTTGTATCATCTGCATATCAGAGGTTGTTGATAATTCTACTGCCAATTTTGAGCCTAATGGTAGTTTCTACCAAATGTGTATTTCTCATAACTATTAATGTGTATATGTTGAATAGTATAGGTGACAGGATGCAGCCTTGCCGAGTGCCATTTCCAATTCTGAACCATTTTGTGTTTCCATATTCTGCCCTTATGGTGGGTTCTTGATCAGAGTGCAGTGACTTGAATGAGTTAGATGTGGTGTGGTGATATTCCCAGTTCTTTGAGGCAGTTCCAGAGCTTGTCATGGTCCACACTGCTGAAGACTTTTGTGTAGTCAGTGAAACACATGTAGAGGTCTTTTTGGTATTCCATTGCTTTTTCCATCATCCAACGTAGATTGGCAATGTGATTCTGCATTCCTCTCCCTTTATGAAATCCCACTTGTACATTAGGCAGTTCTCTGTTGGCAGTTGTGTTCAAACATTGCTGGACTATCTTCAAGAGGGTTTTATTCATATGTGGTATCAAAGCTATGGTTCGGTGGTCTTTCATATCAACACTCTTTGGTGTTGGGATAAATACTGACCTTTTCCATTCTTTTGTCACTGACCAGATTTCCATACACTTTGACAAAGCACCGTCAGTGCTTTTGTTGGCAGTGGTCTCAGCAACTCTGCTGGAATTCCATCAACTCTAGGGGCTTTGCAGTTAGGCATCTGGTTGAGTGCCCACACTACTTCCTCCTCCAGGATATCTGGTATAGATATGTGATAATCTATATCACATGTTCATATATTATTAATGTTGTAAGGTGTGCAATCTGTAACATTATAGAAGGTGTTTATCCTTCAAATTATGTAATGCCATTCTTTTTGCTATCAGTAGGGTACAGAGAATCTACTTTGTTAATTTCCATAAAGTAGGTAAATAAATTAAAATAGCTAGTACATCAATGAATATTAAAGATTGTTCTAGTGCAAAATTTATCTGTGTCATAACCTTCTGCCAAGCAGTAGCAGTTATTGGACATTGCACAATTGTGTTTAAAAGAAGCATTAGCTGTATTGCACTACCAACAATTATCTGAATTAAACATTCCCTTGTTAAAAAGACAGTGTGGTATCTGTTAGACACAGACAAATGTTTTCATTGAGTAAGATGCAACCTAGCATCCAGAGAAATGATAGGTAGATGCCAAAATGGCAATCCACTGATTATGCATTTTGTGGTCTTGCCCACCGGAGTTTTTCATATTACCAAATGTGCCTAGAATTCAAAATGGGTAGAGTAATGCTGAACCTGTTTGAAGCAGGAGTAGTTCATTCAAAGAAGTAACATTTTCTGCCTTCTAATAAATGTGCTCCTTGTCACTTCAAGCAGTGAAGGATCACCAAACTGCTGCCACTTTCCCCAACAAAACCTTTCTTGGAACAATGCTACATCAATACTTCTCCTGGAGGCATTGCTAAAACTCTACTACTTCTTGAAACACGTGCAAAAATCAGAGTGGAACCACTGTGTACTATGGTCTGCCCCTGGCCCTGAGAGTAGAGCAACATCTCTTTGAGTTTGTATTGCTGGCATTGGTTTAGGTAGTTTCCTTAAGATGCATTGCTATACAAGGTTTATGTGTTTACCATTTTAAAAATAACATTACTGGAATTCTTCTGGAAAGGTGGAAGAGACCTGGGTTTTTATGTATTACTTTAGCAGTCAGTTTAAAACTTTGCTGCTGGGCAAATAATTCATTATTTTGATTCCATTTCTTTCAGGGTTTTTATGTGGAAAATTCTGAATTTATTTACCATGTCACTTTAGGTTCCAAAATCTGGTTTTCACCAGCCCAAATGCTGCTAATACAGTGGCCCAGCCATAGCATATATCCTTTGC